ACTTTGGGGCCAGGATGCACATCCAGACCCACTCAGTGTCTGCATTCCCCCAGCAGAGCCAAAATGAGACTCCTGGTTGCTCAAGCCAGCAGGAATGCACTTGGGACCAGCACCTGATGCTGACCGAGAGTAAGAAAGATCAAAGTGCCCTAGACATTCTCAGAACATACATGTTTTCAAAGGAAATCTGATTGTAGAAAAACATTAAGACCACTTACTCACAGAGAGGTACTGCTCCACAGTGTCTGTAACTTTGAAAACAGTCCTAATGACCTGCATTGCTACATTGTAAATACAATGCCTTGTTATACAAAATGATCTCTAATAAAAAATAACCTCTTTACTGTAGCAGGGCTAGGTGGATGAAACAATGTGTGCGTCTGAAGCAAAGAGCATCTTGTGGGTTTCTCAGGAGCAAACGGTTAGAAGCTTCATGGCTTTTAGAGTCAGCCTGCTAGAGACGACGTCAGACTGCCGCTTAGCATTTGTCTGGGTGCATTAGCTCGGGCAAGTAGACAAACTTCAGAAATGAGGGGCATAAAAATTAGTTTGCTGTGTGCTATAGAGGGTAAGACTGTTTCTACTTAAGGAATTTATTGAAAGCTATAAAAGGTAAGAAAAATTCATATGTAGAATAATTATGAAATGAATATATAAAAATCCATATACAAACAATAACCAATTAAAAATTGTAATGGGAAAGGTGGTTTTCTTACACTGGGGAAAAGTAACATGCTCGGAATACAGATCTTTAAACATGTGTCCAGTGTCTCTAAAGAAAATATGGAGATGTTGTTGAGGGAGCTGAAAAATTGACTAAATGATTGATAAGACCTATAACAGTGTCTTTTCTAATTGGATTAGCATCTACATTAGTATTAGTAGTATTAATGCTAATGAAAATAGACATAGATTGGCCTTTTTTTAACCATAATGTTAGTGTGGGGAAATTCAGGTGTAAAACAAAGCCGTAGAAGGTGTGAGAAAGATGATTAATAAAGGAGGGCTAATTTCCATAAAGGCTGGAACATGATAGAAATATAACCTTGAAGGCACTTGGGTAGTTAACCGTTAGTTAATATAGAATACCACAAGAATGCTTCAAAAAATTCATGGGAAAATGGAAATGAAAAGATAATCCGTTTTTTGCTCTTCACTTTATTTTTAATTTTTTTAAAAGATCATTTTATTGGGGGCTCTTGCATCAATTGTATCAAGCATATTTGTACATATGTTGCCTTCACCATTTTCAAGACATTTACATTTTATTTGAGCCCTTGGTATCAGCTCCCCTCACCACCACCACCCTGACCCCTTGATAAATTATAAATTACTATTTTCATATTTTACACCGACTGCTGTCTCCCTTCCCCCACAGGTTCTGTTGCTTGTCCCCCTGTGGGGGGATGGGTTGTGTCAATCAGTTTCCCCTTCCCCTCACCTTCCTGGTATCCCTATGCCCTTTTCTGTTCCTGAGGGATTTGTCAAGATACGAGTTTTACCACAGACTTTGTGAGGTCCCAGGTATGTTCAGAGATTTAGCATGCATTGAAAGGTAACATTTGAAGTTATTGGAGGAAACATACTGTTGTAACCATTTGGAAAAAACTTAAGTTGATCCGCAACCTCAGTTCCCTGTAAAAAATAAATTCCAGGTCAATCAAAGATTTAAACATGGAGAAGTGCTACATTGTAACTTGGGAGAATTACATTTAAAACAAAAAGCCTCTTAAATAGGATATCTTTTCTAAGTATAACTCAAAAGCTAAAACCTTAAAAAGGGCGGGGAGAGGGGATAAAACCCTGATTAACTTAAGGTTGATAAAGGCAAAAATTAAATATTAAGGAATAAAGGAGTCACACTATTTCAAACTTTCACTCCACAGATGACTTACTAAAAACAGCAGCCAGAGGTGCTCCTTGATTAGGTAATGTAAGGAGCTAACAAACAATGAAGTGATATTATGGGGTAATTGGGCACGTGGTTGAATATTTGGGCAATGGTTTGAATTTATGGAGTGCTGGTGGTGCAGTAGTTAAAGTGCGTGGCTGCTAAGTGGAAGATTGATGATATGAACCCACCAGCCAGGCTGTGGAAGAGCGGGGAGCTTCCAAGAAGCGTTCCAGCCCTGAAGGCCCTCTGGAGCAGGCCAGTTCTGGGTGCTGCTGAGTCACTGGGAGACGGACTCGACAGCAAGAAGTTTGGTTTAGGATCTTTGTAGCGACGGCAGCAAGTTCTAGTTGAGCTTCTAGTAGGTGTTTTGAGTGTGGCCGTGACGGTTGTGGGGAAGGTTTCCATGTTTGTTCTTAGGTGAGACGTGCTGAAGTATTTGGGGTGGAGTATCAGATTGTCTGTGACCCTGAAATGATTCACTAGGATACGTAGACTTTAGGTTTATATTACATGCTATGTTCATGTCTGTGCACACATGCAGTATACATGGATGTACCTGTGCTGTCTCCCACAGCACGCTCTGCTTTTCAGCTAGGTTCTTTTAATTCATTGCCACGGCCACACTCACAGACAATGCTCGTGATTAACAGGTTACAATTCAGACAAGACATGCTCAGGATATTGCTGTTCCATCAGGAATGTTACAGAGAGCACTTTTAGGGCCGGTAATCAGTGCCAAAAGGGCATGCCGCTCCGCGGTAAGGCTCAACCCAGAGGCACTCAGCTCCAGGTCTGTGGGTCAGTTCACCCAGGCACCCCATTCCACAAGTTAGCCACCTGCCCAAAGTGCTCAGCTTGACTTGCTCTGTAGGCTAGGAAATCCACCCCTCTGTCTCATACTCTGGCTCCTGGTGCTGCTGCTGCTCCTCTATCACTCCTCTGGGGCCACAGCCATCTCCTGGATCAAGGAGATCATCACTACACGGGCATTTGGGGTTCAGAGGACGCACTCCACTCCTGACTCTTGCTGGAGTCCGTGAGATCTTCCCTCCTGCTTCTGAGGTGGGTCACCCCACAGGATGGCAGTCACTCACAGCCGAATCGCACACTGTAATCTTGATCTTCCCCCACCTTCTTACTTATGCCCGTCAGGAGAACAAAGGTAGGTTGGTGGAAGTCACAAGGGCTAGGGCTCCAAGAGTCATGTTAAGTCATTCCCTGCATTGCAACCTGTGTTCAGAGGGAGAGTTATTTGCTATAGGGTTGGTTGTAATGGTGAGATTGCTAATTATGGTCCTAAGATTTCAAGCCCAGTAAACCAATCCTGTGAGAGATTGGGTTATGTTAGGGAAATATTCTTAATATTCCACTCTGTGTTTTATTATGCATACGTGAAAATGGACTCGGTGCACACAGATGTGTACATGGAAGTGCTTTAATAAGTTCCAAAAAGGCCATTATCTTTTTTGTACATACTTTTTGAAGCTCCCTCATATATGCATATGTCTAGAGATGAGATATACCTGTACATGCACACTCTGTACTCCCATGTGCCTTTCTATACATGCTTCTAAGTTCTAGTTTGATCAATATCATCTGGGGTCTCAAGCTTGGGCATAAGCATTGTGGTCGTTACATAATCTGTCGACTTGTGAAGGGGTGGAGTCTAGCCTGTTAATCAGGTTGCAGCTTGAAGACTTCATTTTGGAGGTGCCACGTAGATAAATAGCTCACTGGAGGCCAGGTACACACCGACTCTCTGCTTCGTCTTTCTGCTGACAAGACACATGTAGCTACACTAGAGCCCTGGACCTGGAGGAGCCACGTGGAGACCCACGCCAGCACTGAGATGCTTCCACCACCACTGCATCCACAAGACTTTCCACCCACTGGCCTGTGATCTTCCTGCATTTGGCGTCATTGCATTTGTTGCATGAGTCTGAAGAGGAATTTATAGAATAGTGTCAGACATATGGGCTGATATCGGACTTTTGGACTTGATCTGTACTAGACTGGGATGTTTTCTCAATATACAATTGCCTTTGATATAAAGCTCTTTCCTATACACATATAAGTGTCTTATGAATTTGTTTCCCTAGTCAACCCTAGCAGCTCTCTACAGGACACCTATTGTTCTGTGCTCACCTGGAATAAAAAAGAAAGGAAACCAAAGAAGGAAGAAGAAACTGGTCTACAGCACTGACAGCACATGAACCATGGCCCCTTGAGTCCTGAGTTCCAAAGCACTACATGATGCCCGGCCACCACTAATGACCTTTTTGATTAGAGATGCAGTTGAAGGGCCCAAGTAGAATGAGAGAATAATGTAAAACAAGACTCCAATGCCTAAAAACTACTAGACTTACTGAACTATTAGGGACGAGAAGAACCCCCTGAGACTAGCCCTAAGGTGCCTTCCAACAAGCTACTCCTAGAAGTCATCTTTCCCCCAAATAGTAGATTGGCCTATGACATAAACTGTTGTGAGTAATGTGTGCCCTTTCACAGTCAACTCCACTAAAACAGTCAACGTGTACCCCAAAACTAAGATGAGGCGAGGAGGCCAGATCGGTGGAACGAGGTAGAGCGAGTGAAACAAAAGTGAGAATGCTGACACATTGTGAAAACTAACCGAGGTCCTGCAACAAGCTACCAAAGGGGCCAAGTGGGAATCGAACTTGCTATGTAACTGCCACTAGAGCAAGCGAGTGCATTTCTTTAATACCTTATTTCATTATTTATACTTACAAATTATGCTCTGTCACCACCCTCTTCCCCCAAGAGTAGAAGTACTTAGTCGGAAATTCGTCTTTATTGTTGGTATTATCATTATTTTTATTGATAGATATAGAATAAAAGTCTTTGAGGTATAAAATATGGCCCTGGGACTTCATTTGGGTGGGAACCAGTTTTCCTCACTTGTAGTGGAGGTACAGGCTGGAGGGGAAGCAGGCCTGCCCACTCACCTTTGGCATGCCTTTTTCGGTCGCCATAGCCTGGCGTTTGTCATGTACCGAGCTGCCATTTTCTGTACTAAGACTGTTTCCAGCAATATGCCATGATCTTTGTACTCTGACCTGTTTTCTATTGTTTCTTTGGTTTTTAGAATAACTGCTCAAAGACTTGCCCACTTAAACAAGTGCTTGATGAACTTTAAGCTGGGGAATTTCAGCTATCAGAAAAACCCTTTGAAATTAGGAGAGCTTCAAGGAAATCACTTCACAGTTGTCCTCAGGTAAAGAGCAAGGAGTTGAAAAGTCCCCTGTGATGGTCTTGCTGGTTTATCTTGATTCTGCTTGCATAACAGTTGTTAAGAAAGGCCGGGGTAGCTTGTAGCAACGGGCGTGACAGCTACAGAAGGCACAAGGGGGCCTGAAAGCAAGACCTTGTGTGCTTTTTGTATTCACACCCTCACCCCTCTGAAAATACGATACAATCTTGGAAAGAAGCCACCTCCCTCCCTCAAATACTGTGCTGAAGAGAAAGTGCCTCCAGGAAACAGTGACAGCTGCAGGGGACGGGAGGGGAAGCCAGCCTGAAGCTGAGACGTTTGTGACCCTTATCTCTTATTTGTACCTCTGCAGGAATATAACAGGAACTGACGAACAAGTTCAACAAGCCATGTGCTCTCTCAAGGAGATTGGATTTATTAACTACTATGGAATGCAGAGATTCGGGACTACAGCCGTCCCTACATATCAAGTGGGAAGGTTTGTATTTAAATGCTTAACTTTTATCAAAATGAGCTGTCTTATGAAAAAGATGATTTTGGTTTTAATTATCTCTAGATACCCTCACATCTAGGGTAAGTGAACAACTTTGTGCTATTTGGATGAGTGGCCTGCTGCATCTTTGTTTTTGTTCAGGTTTAAGATGATGCACAAAGTGGAAACTTTAAGGTTCTGAAGGATATAGCATGGTCTTCCTCACATACCCATACTAGCCGGCCATTTAGAGATTATCTTTTTTTTTTTGGAAAGGTAAATTTCAGTGCACTGGAAAGCTGTATCACCCTTTGAACTCCAAATTTGATCAGCAAGAATAACAGCATGGCAATATCCAGGTCCTGGCACAACAATAAGACAAGAAAACACAGTAGAAGGTAGCCCAATTGGACAAGAAGTGAAATTATCTCCACTCACAGAAGATATCCTATACATAGAAAATGCCAAAGAGTCCACAAAAAAGCTAGAACTAATAGACTAATTTAACAGAGTTGCAATGTACATGGTCAAGAAGCAAAAATGAGTTAGGCTTTGATAAACCAGCAAAAATGACTCTGAAAAAGAAATTAGGGAAGTGATTCCATGCATAAAGCATCTAAAAGAATAGAGGACCTGAGGATAAAGCTAACCAGAATACAGAAACCCTTTGAAGCCACCCCTGTGGTCACCTTTCAGTTGAATCAGAGGTGGGCTGTAAAATAAACACTAGCGTCTATGAACGCTGTACCCCATAAGTTAACTGTAGAGACAAAAGTCAGCATTTGCTCTAAAATAAGAAAGCGACCCTAAGGAGGCGGCCAAGACGCGAGATGAATGGATGTGGAACACAGAATGGGAACAGCGGGGATAGACCTGTTAGAAAAGTAGAGCCAGTGTCGTAGAGGACATTGTATTAATGTTAAATGGGAACCTAATTTCCTCTGTAAACTTTCACTTAAAACGCAATAAAATTAAGGATATTAGAAAATTAAGCTGTATTCTATTTGCCTATACAGGAAGTTATTTAAGATAGGAGAAAGATTATTCAGAAGTTTCCAACAAGTTTTGGCACATAAAGACATAGCTGACTAGCACAGACAGTGCCACATGTATAGCAGCTTAGAACATGGCTGAGGAGTTTATATTAATTAAAAAAAAATCATTTTATTGGGGGCTCGTACAACTCTTAGCACAATTCACACATCGATCCATTGTGTCAAGCACATTTGTACATATGTTGCCATCATCATTCTCAAAACATTTGCTTTCTACTTGAGCCCTTGGTATCAGCTCCTCGTTTTTGCCCCTCCCTCCCTGCTTCCCCCTCCCCCATGAACCATTGATAATTTATAAATGATTATTATTTTGTTTTATCTTACACCATCTGACGTCTCCTTTCACCCACTTCTCTGCTGTCCGTCCCCCAGGGAGGAGGTTATATGTAGATCCTTGTAATCTTTTCTCTCTCACCTTCCCTCCACCCTCCCCGGTATCACCATTCTCACCACTGGTCCTGAGGGGTTCATTTATCCTGGATTCCCTGTGTTTCCAATTCCTCTCTGTACCAGTGTACATCCTCTGGTTTAGCCAGATTTGTAAAGTAGAATTGGGATCATGATAGTGGGGAGAGGAAGCATTCAAGAACTAGAGCAATTTTGTATGTTTCATCATAGCTACACTGCACCCTGACTCGCTCGTCACCTCCCTGCGGCCCGTCTCCAAGGGATGTCCTATTTTCCACAGATGGGCCCTGGATCCCCACTCTGCACTCCGCCTCATTCCCAATGCTATGATTTTTTGTGTGTGTGTGTGGTTTTTTTGTTTTTTTTTGTCTTTGATGCCTGATGCCTGATCCCTTCAATGCCTTTTGATCTCACAGGCTGGTGTGCTTCTTCCGTGTGGGCTTTGTTGTTTCTCAGTTAGATGGCCCCTTGTTTATCTTCCAGCCTTTAGGACCCCAGATTCTATATCTTTTGACAGCCGGCACCATCAGCTTTCTTCACCGCATTTGCATATACACCCTCTTTGTCTTCAGCAATCATGTCAGGGTAGGCTGGTGTGCTTCTTCCATGTGGGCTTTGTTTCTCAGCTAGATGGCTGCCTGTTTATCTTCAAGCCTTTGAGACTCCAGACGCTATATCTTTTGATAGCCGGGCACTATCAGCTTTCTTCACCACATTTGCTTACGCACCTGCTTTGTCCTCAGCGATTGAGTCTGGATAGGCTTATGTGCTGGACAGGCATGTGGGTTTTGTTGTTTCTCAGCCGCTTGTTTATCTTCAGGCCTTTAAGACCTCAGATGCTTTTGGTAGCCGGACACCATCAGCTTTCTTCACCACATTTGCTTGTACACCCATTGTCTTCAGCGCCATAGCATCATTAGGGACAACACTAGAGACACACCGCAGGAATTGTGCCTGCCCTGAGCCCACTATGCCAAAGCCAGCCTCTGGGGGCATGCAGCAGAGCAGCAGGGGGAGCAGAGCAATGAAGTCCCCAGGAACAGATGTGGGCCCAGGGCATGGTACCCCATCCGACTCGACTGGAAAGCACTCGTGAAGGACAACAAATAGACCCTGAACTATTTATAGGGTTTTTTGTGTTGTTGTTATTGTTGTTGTTGTAGCTGTTGTTTTACTTTCTATTGTTGTTTCGTTGTACTCAGTCTTGTGATGGTGCATATTGTTGTCACTGCATGTCTGCCTGGAAGGGATAAACAAGCCGGAAGAGAGAACAACAGGATGACAGTTCCAGGGGAACATGGGAGAGGGGGGGGCAGGAGAAAGGAAGTGGGTGTTAACAAACCCAGGGACAAGGGAACAACAAGTGATCCAAAATCAGTGGTGAGGAGGGTCTAAGAGGTCTGGCAGGGCTGGATCAAGGGCAGTGTAACCGAGAGGAATTCCTGGAACCTAAATGAAGGCTGAACATGATAGTGGGACAAGAGGAAAGTACAAAGAAATAGAGGAAAGAACTAGGAGGCAAAGAGCAGTTATGGAGATCTAAATCAGGCATATACAGATGTAAATATATTTATATATGATGAGAGGGAAATAGATCTGTGTACATGTATTAAGGAAACAGATGGACAGTGGGCCCCTACTCAAGTACTCCCTCAACACAAGAACACTTTGTTCTAACAATTTGGCAGTCTGAGTTTATACTATTAATAGCGTTTTTTTGTTTGTTTGTTTGTTTGTTATTAATAGTGTTTTAAAACTAAAATGGTAATTAAATGTTATGGATGAGCATTATTTTTTCTTAGTTTTAATTTTCTTTAAAATTCTTTTGACATTTACATTTGAAATGTATCTTAACTTTAATTTTGTTTACTAACTTAAAATTTAATAAAAAATAAAGCTAAATATCATATGTTGACTTAACAAAGATTTGGGCATGTTAAATTTATCTTAATGCAAAATTAAGTGAAAATAAATGCTGCCTATTTAATTTTAGAGCTATACTACAAAATGCCTGGACTGAAGTCATGGATTTAATATTGAAACCCCGTTCTGGAGGTAAGAATAAAATTCACAGCAAATTTTAAAAAAGAAGAATATATTGCATTGAATATGGCAAATTAGAATATAGTTATTTTAGAATGTTCTTTAATTATTTTTATAATAAAATAAGTGTAAATATTTCCCTATATTAGTTTTGGGTTTTATATTTACAATGGATGCTTATAATCTATAAACTCTTTAGCTCATCTAATCTATTAAAGGAACAAATACATTTGTTTTTTCCACAGACGACTAAATCTCAACATAGGAATCCATTTTTTGCGAAAGCACAGTATAACTGGTTATAAGAATGTGATGAAACACGTTAAGGATTATTAATTAGTTCAAAGAGTTTGTAAAACTTCTCAGAAAGCATCTCTAAAATCATACCATATGGGAAAAGATATGATGAGTACTTTGTAATTTGTCAGTTATTATATCCACTTTGGGTGATTGTTTATTTTCTAACTGAAAAGAGAGAAAATTGCCTAATTTTAAGGAAAATAACTCATTAAATTTGAAAATTATGGTGGAAAAAGAAAATGAGCATTGACAGAAGTATCCAGCATTTCTTTTATGATTAGTCAACTGTGCAATGGCAATGATTGGCTTTAAATCCTCGATTGTGCAGGACAAAGCCAAATTGTTCTCGAAACACTCTAGAACTTTGTCTTCACTTCCCGGGCGCTGCTCTCTGGTGAACAGCAGTTCTTTGTGGTTCCTTGAGTCAGATGGTGCTTCCAGTGTTGTCTCCTCTTGGAAGCATCTTAGGGACTTTGTCTGTTGAGCACATTGTATGACTGCAGCTCTTTTTGTCTTTCAGCTGAAAAGGGGTACTTGGTCAAGTGCAGGGAAGAGTGGGCGAAGACCAGAGAGCCCGCTGCTGCCCTCAAAAAACTACCTGTCAAAAGGTGTGTGGAAGGGCAGCTGCTTCGAGGACTTTCAAAATATGGAATGAAGAATATAGTCTCTGCATTTGGCATAGTGAGTGCAATTTGTGAAGTGAGGCAATGGCTCAAGATGGTTTATGGCTTTAAATTTTTTCTTTACAGGTTTTGCTAAGTTTTGCAAGCATCAGAGGTCTAAATAAATATCCTTGGGTGATTTGTGAGAGGTGTTTTTACCTAGGTGATCCTTGTTCAGACCCTGAAAGTTGGTGGGGGAGGAGTGAAAGAGGGGAGCAGGGTTAGCAGTCATGATTAATATGGAGGGTGCGAAGGTGTGAAGAAAACATTCCATCTAGACTTTGCATTAGGTGTCTTGGTAGTTGAAACATTTTTAATGCATTGTTGTGACATCTTTCTGTCATAGCTACATTAAAATTCTCTTTTTCTTTGTCATCAGAGGCAGTCCCTGGCTTCTGATTGAGTTCCATTCCTACATCTATCTAAATGTGTGCAGAAGTCAAAATATTAGATACAGTTCATAACCAGTCAGTCCATTGTTTTATTACCCAGGTTATAGTGTACCTTTCCTTCTATGCATAAAAGACATCCAGGAAACATTTGCAGATACACCAAAACATCTGTAGCAGAGGAATACAGTAACAGCAATGCTTCAAAGCCTGAGTAGCACTCCTTTGTTATGACAAACCTTGGTGTGAACCTCATTTTTAATATCGTAGGTTTTACGCGGAGTGGTTCCTAACCACAGGTTGTATGTGAGTTGGTCGTCTATAACCTAGGAATGGCGTCTTTTTAAGAGCTGTGCGTAGATAAGCAAGCTAAAGAGCTGATGTTAGTCGAGATGGTTTATGGCTTTAAATTTTTTCTTTACAGGTTTTGCTAAGCTTTGCAAGCATCAGAGGTCTAAATAAATATCCTTGGGTGATTTGTGAGAAGTGTTTTTACCTGGGTGGTAAGGTTTCTGAGTGGTGAGGAGAATGGGGAGTGCTGGCAAGTGCACTCTGTCTCAGTCATCCACAGCGCTCAGGCTTAACCCTGACATGGAAGTCCTGATTCCCCTTCCCAGAGGTCAAGAAAGCAAAACCACAGGATTCCTTCGGAAATCTGTTGCCTGTTCAGTCATTGATGTTTTCTCCTTCCTTAGAAGCAAGAAAGCCCTGCTAGCTCTATAACTGATTTGTAAATTCCATGAGTCTGAAGTCTGTGACTTGAATCAGGCAATAAGTCCCATGCAGCGTTTGCTTTATGTTGCTTTATGGGTTGAATGAGTCTACTGTTTCATGTGGATAAAAACGGGACCTATGGCAGCTGTCTGTGGTTGCTAGCCCCCATTAGTCTTGGGGGTTCGGTCTTGGAAACTAGAGACAATGTGTCTGTCACCCGTTAGGAAGATGGCAGATTTAAAGCATATGTTTTCTGAGCCAGGACTGCTAGCAAGTAAGCAAGCAAGATGTGATAGAAAATGCAGTGCTCTTGACATTCAGAAGGTATATTTATATATTTCCTGTGTGCGTTTGCTTCCCTCCCTCCAGATACCAAGAAATAACCGCTTAATGTATATCCATAGCTACCAAAGCTATGTGTGGAATAACATGGTGAGCAAGAGGATAGAGGAGTATGGGCTGAAACCTGTTCCAGGGGACCTTGTTCTCAAAGGAGGTAAAAGGCCAAAGTATCTAGTTTGTCTTCTGCCAAACTCGGGTGCAGTGATGTATCACAGGTAGTTTGGGAACCTGACCCGGCTACTGGTTAAGACAAGGTTAAGCTTGAGCTGGGAGGCCATGCAAGCTGAGAATGACTCGTTTCTTTTGCATACACGTCCTCTCTGTCTCTGTCCCCCTCTCTGTCTCTCTCTCTCCGTAAACTGTGATGCGTGTATTGATTTCCTAGGGGGGCCATACAAGACACCACATGCAGGGGAGCTTATAAGAACAAATTTCTTGTCTCGTGGTTTCGGAGGCTGGACGTCTTTATAAATCAAAGTTATGTAGGCCTTACTTCCCCGGGAAGGGTAGGGAAAGATCCTTTCTTGTCTCTACCCCAGGTCTGCCTTGGCTTGTCCAGTGTTCGCATCTCCGTATGGCATCCTGTCTTTTACAAGGGCTCAGATTGGATGTGGACCCCCTCCCCCTCATAACTCTGGTATCCAGGCACTGGTGGGGCAATGGTCGGTTCCTCGTTGGGCTATTAACTGCAAAGCCAGCAAGCTGTTAGAAGCTGTTAGAAAGATGAGGCGTTCTACTCCCATAGTGAGTTTCAGTCTCGGAAACCCACAGGGGAAGTTCTGCCCTGTGGCCACTGTGAGTTTTCTGGCAGTTGTGCTCCAGTATGACCACATGTTAACAGATAATATCTTCATTGGTCCTCTTTCCATCATCCTGCTCAAAGGTACCAGAGGGTTAGGACTTCAACATACCTCTTTGAGGGACACAACTCAAATCCATAACCCACGGCATAAATCCCTTCCCATACTAACCCATACTAATGTGGGTCTAGCAGATAACTGCAGGCTTCCGGAGACTTTGTTGGTTTCCACTCGCTGGCCGCTTTTGAAGAGTTTCTGTTAGCTCGAGCCAGACAGGAGCTCCCTTTATATGTGGGCCATGATCGGACAAGCATTGCGGATTGCTCACTCTGTGACCAATGGTCATAAACCAGCACTGAAAAACCTGCGTGCTCTTGGGCCCTTACTGTGCGCCAGACTTGGTGTGAAGCCCTTCACTTAGACCTTCCAGTGGGCCGCTCACAGTATTGCTTTGAAGTGACTGCGTCATGATTTTCAGATGTTCGACTCCACAGCTGGCTGAAAAAGAAAAAGCAGGGGTTCAGGGTCGTGCTTGCCTGCCTCTCTGTTGTCTGCCTGCATGCAGTGCCCCTCTCAGGTCCCTGCTGGTAGCTGCCCTCACATGGGGCCCACCTCCTGTCCATTCCCTGTGCCAGCAGCCCTGTAAACCACTGTGAGTTTTCATTTGTTTGTTCAGGAAGCTTAATGATTCCCCCACCCCCCACCCCCACTGAAATACATTTTCCTTATTCAGTATTGAATGAGGGATCGGGCCCGGGAAAAGGACACCAGGCTTGGGAAAGGAGGGTAGCAAAAATGAGGAAGACCCTCGGCAAAATGGTGTGACACGGGCTGCCGACACTAGCGCCCACAGAACCATTGTGAGGCCGGCCAGGGCCGGCAGTGTCTCCTTCCGTTGTGCAGGGTCGCGCTACCGTCTCGAAGACCCCTAAAGACAATACTGACTGCACTGTGCGTGTGCGCGTGTTGTTGTTTTGTTGCCAAGAGCACTCCACTGGGCCACCCTCTTTTAGCCTCGAAATACAGGCCGACCTCATTTTTAAAACTGTTCTTTCGGCAAAAAGCAATTCAGTGATGACTTTCCAAATTGCACTTTGCAATGTGTTTATGAAGGCAAAAATGAACTGATTTTTATTTTTAGGTAGACCTTCTCCAAGGACAAGAATGCAACTCAGAAATAAAATGTTTTCCATTTCCATTAAAAAAATTTTTTTTCTCAGAACTTGTTTTGATTTCTTGGTGGATGGCAAGGATGGGGGAGCGTCCATGCTAACTGACTGTCCTACGCCTCCTCGGCCTCTGACCCTATATGAGCTTGCCCTTCTGGCTTGCATATATGTGCAGAAGATTGAAGTCAGGATATTTGAGCTGTTTCCTTAGTTTGTTCCTTTGTAAATGTACAGCCACAGCCACGTACATTGAGGAAGATGATGTTACAAATCACTCCATCCACGACGTGGTGATGCCCTTGCCTGGCTTCGATGTCATCTACCCGAAGCATCAAAGTAAGTTGTCTGTGGGGGAATAGTTAGAAGAAAGCCTGACATTATGAAGCCATGGGCTGCCAAGAATGGAAAGGGGGAGGAAAAACATCAAATCTTATAACTTTGATTTCCATAAGACTAGAAAATAATATGTAGTTTTTAAACATGTAAACTGATGATTTATAAAAAGTCTTCTAAAATTTATTCAGATGACAGTAGAGGTGGTAGTGTTATTATTAGCATGAATGGGATTATTATTTTAATTCCTGAATTTCATTATTCCACATGAGGGTGAAAAAGAGTTTTGATATATCCATTCAAAAAGTAGGAACTTTTCATTTCATAGTACTTTTTTAATTAAGAAATTTTCATGGTTGTGGGGACAGCATCTGACCTCCTTTGACTTAACAAGAGCAAGGAGAGTCAAACTCAACATCACCCCAAGACGTTCCTGTGAGGCAGAGGTCAGACATGCCTTTACCTTCCATCCTTTACCACTTTTGATAGCAACCATCTGACCCACAGGACGCTCTTATTTCTCAGCTGGTTTCTGGTGCAGTCGCCACACAACTCATAGACTGTACTCAAGATTAGAGGGCTTATTGGGAAGCTAACGGGTTACAATTCAGGATCAGAAATACTCAGGACACAGTTCTTTCAGTCAGGCTTCCTTGACCTCTCAGTCAAGAGGTTGATCAGGAGCCTCAGTTTTTCTCAGTGTGTGATGAGAGGTCTTTCTTTGAAGACTTTGTTCTGTCCAACATTTTTTGTGAATAATGTGAGTAAACAAATCTACATATTGTATTTGTGAGCCGTGCAAAACAAAATCCTATATGAAACAAAACAAAATCCTGTATGAAAAATATAAATAAAGAGAACTGCAGCTGACATTTAATGATGTTCAATATAAATTCTCACGTTTATATTCAAAGAGCTATTGCAGAGCTAGAAAAGATCCAGTTTGATAGTGGTCTCCAGGAAAAATGTCTGGAGTGACGGTTGAACATAGCCCGTACTCCCTGAGGCAAAGAAGGGGTTTGATGGGAAGTAGGGAAATAGAAAAGGAGGGCGGAACAGAGGGAGCCAGTCTGGCCCGGAATAGGGACTTAAAGTCCCAGTGCTTGTTATTGCACGTGGATAGGGTTAGTTCGCTGTATTCCAAAGCAATCGACAAGTTACAAGAAGTCGTATTTTAACCTGGGAAAAGTTGCATGTGTCACCAAGAAATAAGAGCCTGGTAAATGGAGACATTCAAGCAAAGGCTGCATGACTTCCTCTCTCAGGTGTTATGAAAAAGATTTCTGCTCAGATTCAAGGGTGAACCAGATGGTGTTCCAACAAGGTCTCTTATTTTTATACATTTATTTATGACTACCTTCTTCCAGGAAGAGTTTAGAGCATTTGTATATATTCCAACTTGGAGCACATATAAATTATGGTTTAGCAACTTCAGATAAAATGGCCTTTTATAGCAAGCTTTTTTATAGAACATGCTTTGGGTTGTAAACCGGGGTAGGAGGGTGATCCCAGTGGACTTGTACTTTATTGCATGTGTGGTCTGGTTCCACGTCACTTGCTGGGGGGCTGCAGACTTACTAACTTGATATGTTTTGTATTAGTTAGTGACGCCTACAGGGAAATGCTCACAGCTGACAATCTTGATATTGACAACATGAGACACAAAATCCGAGATTATTCTTTATCGGGGGCCTACCGGAAGATCATTGTCCGCCCTCAGAACGTCGGCTGGTAAGTCATAGTCTAATGCGGCAGGGATCCATTACTATCAAAGGATTTAACCGCTGCTTAGGCCCTGGCACATAAGTGTTCTGTAAATGTTAGTTGTTGCTGTCACCACTCATGCGACTGGGGATTTTCTGATTATGAAGGAATAATGGTGTCATTTTGAATGCAAACAAATAGTGAAAGTGACTTAGTTTTCCTTTTCATGAAAGACCATTACATTATTAAAGAGCTGTGTAGACAACAGGAGCCCAGGTCAGGGTCAGCAGCTCAAAACTACTAGCTGCTCCTCCTGAGAAAGATAAGGCTTTCTACTCCCATAAAGTTGCAGTCTTGGACACCCACAGGGGCAGTTCTTCTCTGTCCTATATGAGTCAGAATCAATTCATTGGCAACAAGTTTGCTTTTACTGGAGTGTGTAAAATGCCCTCTTTTCCTAGTTCTAAAAACTTTGGTTGCCTTAGAACACTGTTCTCAACTTGGGGGTCAAACAACCCTTTCACAGGAGTCACCTGATTCATAACAGTAGCAAAATTACAGTTATGAAGTAGCAATGAAAATAGTTTTATGGTTGGGGGTCACCACAACATGAGGAACTGTATGAAAGGGTTGTGGCATTAGGAAGGTTGAGAACCACTGCCTTAGAACCATTCTATGCTCAGAAATAGCTGAGTTCCAAAGACTAATCTAATGGTTTTGAAGGACTTCCAGAGTGAAAAGGGTACTGTGTTGATCTACTTTAGTACCTTTATATATTCTCTAAAGCTTTATTTGGTAGTTAAGGCAGTGAATCCAGAATGAATGAGCAGACCACCAGAATGGACACACCCAGCACTAGGGGTTGTGTCGTTCTCTGAGGCTTGGGTAAGAGAGTGGCAGTCAGCCTGTGCCTTCCTTTACCCACTCAAGAGCAACAAGACGTTGCTGATAAGAACCACGCTGAAAGGAATGTGTTTACATCTGGACAAAATGATGTTTTCTTTTTAGCACCTCCTATTTAAACAATTTCCATTCTAGAAAAGCATTTTGAATTTTTCATATAGGCTGGGGTCAACTGTCATCTTGTTCTATAATCATAAAAGGCAATACTTGCATGTACGGTCTGGCTCTCTGCTGTTACTGAACGCTCCTGCATGTGGGCCTATGCTTCCTTGCTACATAAATGGTGCTGATTAGTACCTTTTCATGAAAGTTCACAAACGAAACTCTTTCTTTGTGTGTTTTAAAGGGAAGTTGTCGCATATGATGATCCTAAAATCCCACTTTTCAACACCGATGTGGACAACCTGGAAGGGAAACCACCCCCAGTTTTTGCTTCCGGTAAGTTTGCTCAGTCTCCGCCATGCCAGCCCCTTCGCTTCCAGGAAGCGGCGTCTGGTTGGTTTGTTGTTAGAGCAGTAGTCTGGGCCAAGACTGGAATCCATTCTCACCACAGTCTGGGCAAGCCACAGCTTTCCGTGAGATTCCTCTTGAGCAGTGGTTCTCAACCTTCCTAATACTGCGACCCTTTAATACAGTTCCTTATGTTGTGGTGACCCCCAACCATAATATTATCTTTGTAGCTGCTTCATAACTGTCATTTTGCTACTGTTATCAACTGCCATGTAAATATGTGATATGCAGGATGTATTTTCATTGTTACAAATTGAACATAATTAAAGCATAGTGATGAATCACAAAACAATATGTAATCATATTGTGAAATACTCATTTCTAATCCTGGAGACGGAGAGAGGAGCGGTGCCTCGGTTCCGAAGACCATGGAAAATAGGTGTTTTCCGATGGTCTCAGCCGAACCGGTTGAGAACCACTGCTCTTGAGGCAGATTGCACTCTCAGAACCAGGACCGATAGCACTCATGATGGAGCTGCCAGCGATCTGTAGAGCCAAGCTTAGCTCAACTTTTGGGGGGTTGACCACAAGGGACTCTTCATGAAGACTTGGAATTCCTGAGACGGGACCCCATGGCTAAGCCTCCACTCAGGAAAGCCAGGATGACTCCTGACCAAGAGTCTCCCGCCAGTAACTTGGAAGGTTTCCAGAGCATGTTGTCTGAGAGGCTGTCAGCGTTAGGATTATATTCTTGTTAGGACGCGTGGTCCTTTTCATGTTAATAACTCCAGGGAGGTTAGAGAAGCTATCATAAAAAATGCATATAAATTTAATAAGGAGTCTTTCTGGCTAAGTTGGATGGCTTTTATTTGAAGAAGAAGCCTATGCACAAACACTTGACCCTGTGGGACAGGATAAAGCTGCCCCTATGTATTTCCTGAGGCTGTAAGTCTTTATAGGAGCAGAAAGCTCCATCTTTCCCTAGTGGGTTGGCTGGTAGGTTCAAAGTGCCGATCTTAAGGTTACCCAGTCTCCAGTAACCTACCATACCACAAGAGTTCCTCCACTGGAGCACACATACAGATGTATAATGGCTTGACAGCTAAGGACCCCAGCTCCATAGGTAATCTAAGTCAACTGGCACGAGGTTTGCCAAAAAATAATGCTGGATGTGGTGGTGACTATACAATGCCCTTGATAGATTAATCTATTCGATTGTATGATATGTAAATGATGTGCCAATAAAACAATTGGGGAAAAAACCAAAGCCATAATGTTCTACTTCCTTGTTTGGTGAATAGAGGTTGGGGTCTTAAAAACTTGTAAGTGGAACAAAAAACAAAAAGCTTGTAAGTGGACATCTAAGGTACAACTTGACCTCCTCCCATCATGAACAAAGGAGAGTGATAGAGACAGTAACACAAAGAAATCCGCCTACAAACCACAGCCGCCTCTAGCCTGAGACCAGAGGACTGAATGGTGCTCGATGGCAGCCCTGACCAGTGTCACACTAGAAGGTCCTTGTGAGAAGAGGAAAAAAATGTGAAACAGAATTCAAATTCCTAATAACCCCAGACTCTGGGATTTGACTGTTAGGAATTGGAAGAAGCCTGAGACCATTGTCCTAAAATACTCTTGAATACTGGCATGAAGGCTACTCCCAGAGGTTACCTTTCAGCCAAATAATAGATAGGCCTATAAAACAAGCAGTAACACACACAAGGAATGTGCTTCTTCAGACAGTCAACTCCGAGAGACCAAAGGGACAGCATCTGCCCCCAAAGCAAAGATGAGGAGACATTATGGAAGGACAGAAATGGTTAAGTGGGAAACTAATTTCCTGTATAAACCTAAGACAATGTTTGAAAAAAAAAATAAGTGACTTCAGGGATCCTTTCTGTTCGGGATTGGAGTGTCTCGGGGCAGTAGGCTGGGGGGTTCCTGCTGTTTCAGTGGGGCCGCAAGTCAGGATTCTTTGAGATTTGGTAGTTCGGTCCAGCCTCTTGTTCCCTGTCTGTCCAGCTCCCTCCTGCGGATCTGGTCAGAGCGCTTGCTAGTGGGACCAGCCACCATCAAGTTCTTCTGGTCTCAAGGCAGCGGAGGCTGCGGCTCTTGGACATAATTAGTCCTGTAGATTAATTGCGCTCTTCTGATTACTGCTTTTCTGTCTCTGAGCCATCCCGAAAGCGTTTCCTGCTCTTTGATTTTTGCCGTGTCAAAACTGTTTGGGAGACTCAGATTGTATCCCTGTAAGTTGGGGGAGCAAAACCTCAGAAGGGGCAGGATGAGAGCTGTAGGTCAAATTGAAGAGGAGTCTGGTAAGACGTGCCCAGCTGCCCTGCGAGGAGGAGGAGGAGAAAAGGCATTGTCCGGATGGAGCAGGTCCCCTGGCCTTGTCCTCCAGGGGCAGCTTTTGTTTCTCTTCAGACTGCTTCCTAATAAGCCCCCCTGATCGCTTGTTTCCTTTAAGGAAATCTGTCAAAATGACCCCTGTGGCTTCCCCAAAAGAACAGTCATTCGAACCTGTGGGTGTGCCATCTGGTGCCTTGAGTTTAACTGGCCCAGCCGATCCCCCAGAAGCCGGTGTTGTGATTGGCCTCTTTTTCAAGGCATCCTAGGGACATTTTAAAATGTGTGACTGGGAGATGTGTGTAGCCATCCACTATTCACAGAAACACGTTCAAACACATCCGTGCCTGGATGGCCTGCAACCCAGTAGCACTGCTTTTTGACTGTGCGCACACAATTTTGTCTCGTGTACACTCATTACATTAGGTAAGCAGTGGCTGACTGACATTCACTGTTACCATATCTATCACCGTCAATGAAAAGCGACTGCTACCTAGATAATGACCACCTCACTTTGGTGACCACCGTGAAGATTGTTCTCTACATATATACCCTTTTTTGGGTCATTTCCTAAATGTAAGATCTTTCAATATTTGTCCTTTTGTGGTTGACGTAGTCCACTCAGCATAATGACCCCTAGGATCATTTACATGGCACGATTTTGGGGGTTTCACAGTTTTGATTACCCTTGATTTACAGTAAGTGTAGTAGCTACTTGAGTCTCCTTGTTAATTCCAGATGAGTTTTAGAATAAGCTTGTTGGTTTCTACAAAGACATCGCCAGAGGTGCTGATGGGCTGTGTTGGATGATGTGGCGTCGCCATGGCTACAGGAGAAGGATGGGGCTGTCTGCTCCTGTAAGGGTTCCCAGTGTTGGAAGAGAGTACTCAGTGGCAGTGTGTTTCGTGTTGGGGTTTTATTGCTTTTTTAATGATGACAAGTCTTTAGTGTGTCAAAGAGAGAGGGCTAAGTCCTCCCATTTGTTCTGTGTTCATGATTATTTGAGCCATTCAGTCTGTTGAGTTTCTATATGATTCTTAATACCAGCTTGTCAATTTCTGCTCCTCGAGATGTTTACACTCTTTTCCCTTGATTAAGCCATAATTCTCTTATAAATTCCCGTTCATTACTAATATAGTTATCCTTGTTTCCTTCCTAAGCTTCAGTCTCCAAGTCAACTCTTCCTCATTCACTAAATTGCTGAAGCTGCTTCAAATAGCACATACCCCCCACGGACTTGGAATGGTGGGCTTTCCTAAGTGAAATGACCCGCATGTTAGCTCTGTGATTGTTAGAAGAGCCGCCTCTCTACCTTCCTGATCCCTCTGAATCGACAAGACTGAGAATGATGAAGTCTGTTGAAGCCAGTGTGCCCATTGCCCTCCTAGCCTTTTTAAGTTATTGGTATAATACAAATTTTTAAAGCTATATTGCAATAGCCTACTGACTATATCAATTGGCTTTGCTAAATTTGTACTTTCTCTGCTCTCTTCCATGTAGCATTCTGCTATGAGAGACTGTTTCTCGTCTCTGTCAGCTTTGAACTATTTTCACATACGACAACCTAACCTAGAAACTAAACCTGTTCTTTTAACCTCCACCAGTCTAGCCCCTGGCTTGCCTGCTAGTCTCATCGTTGTAAATGGGAGGCCTGTGACTGACACCATGACCTCCGCTGAGAACAAACACGGGTGTAGATGGTTAAGGAGGCAGCCCCTGGGTGGCACAAATGGCCAAGTGCTCAGCTACGCACCCAAAGGTGGGCAGTCTGAACCCATGCAGAGGCGCCTCAGAACTTCCGAAAGGTCACACAGCCTTGAAACCTGTCTGGGGCAGTTCCTCTCTTCTCCCCGGGGTCTCTGTGGGTCGGCCCAGAGGCAGCTGGTTTGTTAGGGTGCAGTCTTAGGTGACTGAATCTTTCCTCGTCTTTCCAGAGTTAATGTGAGAGTCCAGGAAGAATCAAAGCATTGATTTTGCATTCTCATTATATTTTATTTTTATTTCCCCTTTGATCCTGGCCTCCCCCCATCTCCTCTTTTTTTTTTTAATTGACTATACGTGCATTTCTGTCTCCTGTTGTCTGCCCTTTCCATGGGCTTCCCAGGAGGCTCACCGCCCGGCCTGCCGCTCCCCTGGGCGTTGCGCACACTGATCTGCGTCTGCTCTCCGGCCTGAGCAAGCAGCTCTGTTCTTGTTTGGGGATTTTATGACTGTGGTCTCTCTGCAGCTGCTCCCGTTTTCTGACTATCCTTTCTTTCCCAGCAGAAGGCAAGTACAAGGCTCTAAAGATGGATTTTTCGCTTCCGCCTTCCACATATGCCACCATGGCCATCCGCGAAGTGCTAAAAATGGATACGAGCATCAAGAACCAGACCCAGCTCAACACAGCCTGGCTCCGTTGAGCACCTGCTACCTGCCCTCCTCTTCCTCTCTCGCCTCTGGCAGACCCTGCTGGGGGGTGGAGGAAGGTCCTGTCTTTGTAGTCAAAGATTATTTGTATATTTTCAAGTTTGTAGTAGCTTAAATCAATAATTTGCAACGTTTGTACACATACACAAAACCTGAGGGGAGACGATCAAATGGGTCAGACTATATTTCAGGTGCTTCTCTGATCGTAAATCACTCACTTGACTGGCCTTCTAATAATAAGACTAGACATTGGTGTAAAGTAACAGTTGTGGTGCCTGCATTCTTGTTAACGTTTATTCATAAACGGCGTGCACAACCATGTATTTGAATGCACAGACACCAATCTTGACTGGATGACTTACACGTAAATACAGTACTCCCGCATGTTCGAGTGACCACAGAACAGTGACGGGCTTATAAGCTCAGAAGTGACCGTCATCACTTAGCTCATGGGCCGGGTTCAGGTAAATGTTGATAAACTTTTCAGTTGCAATACAAGCCTTTGCATTTCTAGTCTGTCCTTGCAGAAGAGCTGCATTGATAAGGCTTCCTTCCCCCCCACCTCCTTAATGTAAGCATTGCTGCTGTTTTTATTAAGGTCTCCTTTTTACTTGCGGTGCCTTTTATGGTCAGGACTCTTTCCCCCACACTGGTATTTGCCCAGAAATATGTAATGGCAGAGAAGGGGACTGTAAAGCTGGACAAGGGCTCCATCTGTCAACTGTGTCACCCTGTCACCAGCCGCTCCGGTGTTTCCATTCCAGGCTTAAACAGCTTTTCTCCGACATGAAAGGCTGAATCTGCCTTGCTAACGTTATGCAACAGAATTGTGCCGGTTTTTACTTTCTATCATTTCTAGAACCAAATGTAATAAATATTTTTAAAAACTCCTTTCTCCTGGTTGTTAATAAATGAACAGAGCCTCCGCCTTAATTGAAGGCAAGAGACAGATGTCAGCAAGAAGCCCTCGTGCCGCAGCAGAGGGACCTGTGGCAGGTGGCACGCGGACAGCAGAGCACCCGCTTCGTGAATCAGGTTCATGCTCAGCTGAACTCCAGGTCATGCCAACACTGCATCACTCACATGCTTTCCCTTGGTTTTCTGCGGGGGAAGGAGATGGACGGCGAAAAGCGACTGTTGGGAACCTCAGGCCACTGAGTGAGTAACATCTGGGCTGTGTGTACAGGGGAAACAAGACAGCTGTTTTCACCTCTTATTTTACCATGTCCACCACTCTGCTGAGGGGTCAGGAAAGGGGGCAGGCTTTACAACACCATGACAAATGGTCCTTTAAACTGGCTGGTTTCCAAAGCTCTCTTGGCTGAGAAAGGCCAAATTTATTAGATGTGTGTTGATCCTGCCTATGCTTTTGAAAATAAGTTACTCATCAAACTGTTGGAAAAGGGACCTAAGTCTACCTCTTAGAGGTGCATTCAGTAGTTTTGCATTTTAAAAATTTGCATTCAGAATGCAAAATGAAGGTCAACTTCTCATTGTTTCCTTCACCTAGGGAACACTTGGCCGGCTCTACGGGATGAGTTCATTTTCCCAGCAAGGCGAGCCAACGACTGTAGTTTGTGCAAGCCTTTAAACACCAGTGGGAAAACCAAGATTCAGGGCCTCTTCGTAGAGCTGGTTTGAAACTGGTGACAGTACATTAAACTCTAGAGACTTAATCCACTTGGGCTCAATCAGTGCCTTAGCATAGGCCCAAGTACATTTTTACTGCTACGGTTTGTGTTAATGAGGGCAGAAGTTCCTCTCAGATGTACAGTTCACAAAAGCAACCTTGTCTTTGACTTACAAGTACTCTGTCCAATTTTTGCCCGAAAGGAACCATTATTTTTCCCTATAGAAATGCCACTGTTTACTAATGGGAAAGTAGCTAAAGAAGGAAGCTAAGACTAAAATATTTTTACTCGTGGTTTCATATTGTTGATACTATGGGAAGAAGGACGTCAGTAGCCACTAGGTAGGTAATAACTGCAGTGACACCGGTACTTGCAACTTCAGTTGTCCTGGCTGCACAGTGAGCACAAACTGGTATTTTCACAATACGCGTAGAAGTTAAAGCCAAGTAGGCCCAAGTTCCCGCTCATAAATTGACAAGTGTTTGTTCATGTAGCAAGATGGTGCACAGCTGATAAAAGCAGATCTTGGGGCGTCTGCCCCAGCATAGCTGAGGACCACTGTAAGGCTTTCCTCTGCATGCTGGATCTGTTCGACGAGGGTCGGGATTCCTTGGATAGAGACTTCTCATGTTTTCACTCAAATCCTGGGGAGACCTGGAAGAGAGTGAACCCTATTCTCATGGGGAGGAAAGTCACTGAAGATGGCCCCAAGAGGACACACAAGTTTTTGTACAAGTGATAGAGATAAGCTGGAAACAGGAATCCAGGACAGATAAATCCCTCAGGACCAATAATGCAAATAGTGCTACCAGGAGGGTAGGGGGAGGAAATGGGAACCGAGCACAATGATCTACATATAACCCCCTCCCAGGGGGATGGACAACAGAAAAGTGGGTAAAGGAAGACATTGGTCAGTGTAAGACATGAAAAAATGACAATTTATAAATTATCAAAGATACGTGAGGGAGGAGTGGGGAATGAGGAGCTGTTACCAAGGGTTCAGGTAGAAAGAAAATGTTTTGAAAAGATGATGGCAACAAATGTACAAATATGCTTGACACTGGGTGTATGTATAGCTTGTGATAAGAGCTGTATGAGCCCCCAATGATTAAAAACAAATACAATGATTTATTTTTTAAGTTTTTGTACATTGTTTCTTTAACTTGCCAGTGAGTTGATGGTGACTCACGGACATCCGACAGGACAGAGAAGGTCTCGGCTGTCATCCTCACTGAGGCGGCTTGCCATGTGTGTGCCAGGAAGTGGTCAGGGTTTGAACATTTCAGTTGGCTCCTTTTAGGGCTGTTGGTGATCCAAGGAACCCTGGTGGCACAGCAGTTAAGTGCTCATCTGCTAGCCAACAGGGTGAGCCACACTTTAGGAGAACAATTGCTGTGACAATTTACAGCCATGGAAACCCTATGTATGTGGTAGGCCTACTCTGCCCTACAGAATCACTCTGAGTCACCATCGATGCCAGCGCAGTGGTTTTGGGCTTGGTCTTATGTGCCCAAAAGCCCTCTAACACCAGTTGTCTCCCCATCTTTAATGTGCACAGGAATCCGCCGGAGATGCCATTACACTGTAGACTACATCAAGAATGTCCGGGCGGAGCTAGAGCTTGTGCAGCTGGTCTGTGTGCCACACAGGGCCATCAAGGTTGTAGACCCGCATTACAGAGGCTCATTGAAATTAACTGTCAGCATTCAGTGCCTTGGCCTGACTAGCTACATTTCAACAGTTTCCACCACCCTGTGTAGCCCATGGCTGCCGCACTGGGCAGCACAGACGAGAACATTTTCACTGTGGTAGAAAGTTCTCTTGGACAGCACTGCCTATATAACCAGACATCGGTCACCTAAGGTCTAAGAAAGTAGACAGTGCAATCAAGTGGAACACCCAGTGATGCTAACGATGAAAGGCAAATGCTCAATTGAGACAGGTTCATCAAGTGCAGATGTCATGGGGTTGCCATGAGGCCCGGGGTCCCATGTCCATTTCAGATTTCGTGCTCAATGCAGATCCTTGTGATCACTGTTGCTCCATGGGTGGTCCTTGGCCTCCTTCCACACATTTCATCTTCTGACTTGCTCCAGAATCACCTAGAATCCACTTTGCCTTCTTTTCCACTTTGCTTTCTTCTGGATATCTTCGACTTGGTCCTACTGTTTCTTCAAACCACTCTCTTTTTTCATCCTTTTATTGGGAGCTCTTACAGATATCATAACATCCCATAGTTGTGGAATCACATCAAGCAGTAATGTACAATTGCGACCACAATCAGTTTCAGAACATTTTCTTTCTTCTTGAACTCCTTAATATCAGCTCCCCTTCACCCACCCCCCAGCCCCATCACATACAATTTTGTTGTTCCACTCTATCGAGTGGAGTTATGCAGTCATCAATGCTATCAGCTCCCTATTCCACCCCTCTCTTCCCGTACCCTCAAGGAACCATTACTCCTGTTACTGTTTCTGAAGGATTATTTATCTTGGCTTTCATGTACCAATGATCTTAAATATACACTTGAGCATACACAAGTCAAACATGATGAATAAGATAAAAACAAACAAACAAACAAAAAAAGATAAAACAAAAACCACAATGGTAAGGGGAGGAAATATTCAATAACTAGAGGATGGTCATGTGGTTCATCAGTACTGGATTTGTCTCTTCCAAGTGGCCCTCTGAGAAGGAGTATCCAGTTATCTTTCAAGTAGGTTTTTGGTCTCCACTACAT